CACAACATCTTTGTTGGTATGTGGTGCTGAGGATCGAACCCGGGCCGCACGCATGCCAGGCGAGCGCGCTACCGCTTGAGCCATATCCCCAGCCCAGTCTTAGTTAATTTTTAGTTTTGTTTAGAATTTAAACGAATTAAACTTTCACATGAAATAAAACACAGAAAAATGCATAAATTAATTTAAAATAAAGTGACCATCTGTGTAATTGCTGTCGTGATTAAGCAGAATATTGCTGGGACTCCTAAAATTTCTACCTTGTACCATTTTCAGACTATGACCTTCTTTCTTATCTACTAGGTGACCAATATCCTGATATTTACAGCAGTCTATTGCCTTTCTTTAGTATTTTGCTGCTTAAGTATTTCTATGTCTCTCTATATTTGAGCTTTGTATAAATGTTTTTGTGCACTATGTAATCTTTTTTTTCTTCTTTGACTCAGTGTTAAAGTTCATCCATAGTATTGTTTATGATTATAGTTGATTTTGTTGCAGAGTGTTTCTTTAAATGATTATGGCCTGTTTTCATAAAATAGACGTTTATGAACATTTGGGTTGTTTCGGTTTTAGGTTGTTCATAAACAATGGTACTTAATAACAATGTGTATCCAGGTATGTATTAGCATACATATATGTACGGGATATATTTTAAAATGGAATCAATGAGTCAGAGTATGCATATCTTCAAATTTAATAATGCAACAGTGTTTTCCTAAGCAGGTTGTATTAGTTGTTCCTCCTACAAACAGTGTATGAGGGTTTCTGTTGTGCTGTATTTTTGATAGAAGCTGGTATCAGTAGACATTTTCCAGTTTAGTTGACCTTGGGGGGTATGTATTGCTATCTCTGGGGTTTTAATTTGCATTTCTTTGATAACTAAGGAGGTTGAGCACCTATTTATTAGCCAGATGGAGTTTTTAAAAATTAATCTGTGTCCAAAGTACTACTTATTTAAGACATTTTGTAGTTTTTCTGTTTTGATTTTTATTTACTGGCTTGATGTTTATATATTCTAGACATAAAATCTTAATCAGACTTATCTGTCACAAATATCTTTTCTTCTAATTGGGCTGCTTTTTTCACTGTCTTACATTTATTAACAAATTTCCAACATGGTCATTTTATCTTTCCTGTTAGAGTGTCTTTTGTAAAGATTCCTTCACCTGTGTTCATGAAGATATTTTCTGATATTGTCTTTCACTGGAAGCTTTTTTCTTCTTTTACATTTAGATCTATACTCTGCTTAGAGATTTATTTTTGTGTATGATATCATGTATAGGGATCTTTTCATTTGGACACCCAGCTGTCCAAAGCATTCTTTTTTATTAAGAAGTTCATCATTTTAACTGTTGCTTTGACATTTCACCTGTGATCATATATGCGTGTGAGTTTCTAGGATGTCTTTTCTGTTCCACTGTTTTTGTCTACCCATTGACATACCACATTGATTACTAGTATTTTAAATTACTTTCTTTTTTCTTCAGGAAACGAGGCTATTCATGGTTCTTTGTATTTCTATATTAATTTCAGAATCTACTAATATATTTCTATGGTAAACATGCTATGATTTTATTGAGATTATTTTGTAGATAAATTTGGGAGAATGTATCTTTACAATAATTGTGTCTTCTAATCCATGAACATGGTATTTCTATTTATATTTAGGTCTTTAAAAATATCTTAAAATTTTGATATTTTTTAGGGTATCAGTCTTGCATATCTCTATTTTAGATTTAGTCATTTTTGATGCTATTATAAATTATGTCTGTGTCTTTAGTTTCTTATTGCTGCTGGTATGTAGAAATACATTTGATTTTTTACATACAGTTTTTTAAAATATTCAGCATCCTTGTTAAACTTTCATTAATTCTAGTTTATTTGTAGATTCTTTTATGTTTTCTGTGTACACATCATAATCTGCAAATAATAAGAGTTTAGTGTCTTTCTTTATGATCCTTATATCTTTTATTTATTTTTCTTGTCTTACTCTGCTGGCTAGGACATCCGGTACAATGATGAATAGAAGTGGTGATAGCTGGGCATCCTAGTCTTGATGCTGATCTCAAAGTGAAAGCATTCGACGTGTCTCCATTAGGTATGATGTTTTCTGTAGGTTTTTTGTAGGTACTTTTTAATCATTCAAAGAAATAAATTTCTATTCCCAATTTGCTAAGAGGATTTTCTTTGCTTTAATTATGAGTGTAGTTGAGTACACTCCAAAATTTTTGGGCGTCTGAGGCAATCATTTGATTTTTCTTTTTTCATTCTATTAATGTAGATAATTATATTGATTTAATATTAGAAAGTCAATCTAATTTTGCACCTTAAGCGACAGCCATTTCAATTAATCTAGGGGTATCCTTTCTTAGAATGTTTAATTCTAGGAAACACCATCAGGACAATTGAAAGAGCTTCTTTGCATCCTTTTGTGGAAACCAAACTTGTTTGTTATGCATATGTTCTTCTACACAGTTTGGATTGTTAATACTTTGTTAGGATTTTTCATCTATGTTCGTAAATGAGTTTGTGGGATTTTTTTTTCTTACACTGATCTTGTGCAGTTTTGCTATAAAGATTATGTTAGCTTTGTCAGATGAGTTGGAAGTTATGCCCTCTTTCGCTGTTTCTTGGAAGAATTTGTGTAGTCTAGGGTTGAATGTTGAATTTAAAGATCTTGCTGGAGAAGTCATACGCCTATGATTTGTTTGCAGGAACTTTATAATTATGGATTCATGTAGATGAAAGTGTATATGCTTTTTAGGTTTTTATATTGTATATTACTTTTGATATGTAATACTTACTTTGAGTTGTCTGCTTTATCATAATTTTAAAACATATTGACATGAGATTGTCTTTATAGTCTTAGGTTTTTAGGTCCCCAGGATTTTTAGTGATGCCTTTCATTCCTGATACTGTGTTCCTTTTTTTGTTTGTTTGTTTTCTTTTTTTCTTGACCAGTTCTTGCCAGGGATGGATCAATTTTGTGAATTTTATTGACGAGCC